AAAGTTTGAATATCCAGCGCTATTAGCGCTGGAATGCGTCCAACAAATATATCACATGCGTGCAGTTCTTTTCGTTTCTCTTAAATCAAACAAACATGATTTTTAAGATCGCGTTTTAAAACATTTGCCATCCCTAATGGTGAAACTGTCAAGATTTAATATGCAGATTAGCACATTAAGTTTGATGCATTATATTATGATTGCATGTAATTATTGTGACGGATTAAAATGAATCAGATTAAAATGAAATGAGCAATAGTGTCTGATTGGTTCTACATATCGGAGTACCTGTGTTATTAATCAACTTTATAGTGAAGTGGGAGAGAAATTAGTAAACTCGTAAAATAGTCAGCCACCGAAAAATACAAAATTTTGATGCACTTTTTTGGGATTAGGATTGGTGTTTAGGGTAGTTTTTAAAGTATAAGTGGGTTTTAGAGGGCAAATAGAAAACCTCATTTCATTTTAATTCGATTTCATTATAATCCGTAATAATTCGAATATTGTTGTAAAGATTCTAACATCTATATTTGACATTATGCGCTTCGCGCATCTGCTTTAAGATAATGGAAGTATTCATTAAATTTTTTTTTAACAAACTTACCAATAGTGTAAGCTGTTCAATCTGTTGATGTTGTTACTTCTCAAGAATATTTTTGTATTGAATGCTAATTTATAATTTCTTAAATGTTTAATATATTTATTTTAAAAAATAAAATAAAACTTTCGACTTCGCCAAATCTGGTAATTTATCGATTTAGATATGCATACTTAATGTGCAGTAAATATTTGTGATTTTGAACAGCATATTAATAAAACATAGAGATTAAATAAATGTAACAAAATGAATGGAAAGATACAGAATTCATCACATTAAGTTGTGTTAACAAGAGAATTTAATAGACTAACTTTGAGCTTAACTCAAATATGAATGTTGCATAATGAATACCTGTAACTGAACTTAATAATTTATTATAATCAATTACAGGTTTACACTTTGTTATATTTATATCAAGAATTAATTATTTTCTGCTATGCCCAATAATCACTATAATTGGTATTACAAGATGATTAATAATATTTTATTTGAACAATTCTTAACATGAATGTTCATGATTCGATTCTTATGCATGACATTAAACAATAAAAACTATAACATTTTATATAATACTCAATTCAAAATCTCAAAATCTAGTACGTATTACCTTTATTTATTTCCTGATTATTTTACATTTATTTATTAGATAGACACTATTAAAGTAACGTTATGAGATTTTTTGTTATCTTAATAGGCTTTCTTGATTTTTTTGTCACGTAGAATTATTTGCACCTCTAGTCAGCATATGGGTTATACACTCTACTATTTGATGTACTACTTGGTGTATCAGCATATGGGTTATATACTGTACTACGTGTTGTGTTCCTTGTTCTACTACTCGTACTACTTGTACTATTTGGTGTGTTACTTGACGGTGTATCAGCATATGGATTATAAACTGTACTACTTGAAGTACTGCTTGGTGTATCAGCATATGGATTATATACTGTTCTATTGGGTGTACTACTTGGTGGTGTATCAGCATATGGATTATACACTGTACTTCTTGGTGTGCTGCTTGGTGTATCAGCATATGGATTATACACTGTACTTCTTGGTGTGCTGCTTGGTGTATCAGCATATGGATTATAAACTGTACTTCTTGGTGTACTACTTGGTGTATCAGCATATGGATTATAAACTGTACTTCTTGGTGTGCTGCTTGGTGTATCAGCATATGGATTATAAACTGTACTTCTTGGTGTGCTGCCTGGTGTATCAGCATATGGATTATATACTGTACTCCTTGGTGTACTACCTGGTGTATCAGCATATGTATTATAAACTGTATTGCTTGGTGTACTACTTGGTGTATCAGCATATGGATTATATGCAGTTCTATTTAGTGCATCAGCATACGGATTATACACTCTTAGTCTAGTACCTAATGCTCCGACCCCAAAAGTCCCACCAAGTTTTTCAAACAATTTTGGAATAAAGGTTTTCGCATATGATTGTAAGAAAAACTAAGAATATAAAAAATAAGAGTTAAGTTGTGAACGTTATTTGTGAAAAAGTATTATATAACTAAACTTACTTCATGTTCAGCACTATGGAGTGAAACGAAATTATGTGCCAATTCGTGACAAAATGTCATAAACCAAGATATTATTGCTTTTTCAAAAGGATCATTAAATTCTATATAATATTTTAAGTTAAAGAATAATGTTCTATCACGATTAAAGGCAACCGTTGTTGAATCAAGATCATAAAATATATTAAGTTTGTTTCGTGGAATTTCAAAAATTTCGGCAACATTGACAAGAACTCTAATAAAATCTCTCAAAAATCTTGTCATGTTATCAGATTTAATACTAGATGGATCCATACTACTTGCAACATGAATTTCAATCTCACCCTCGGTTTTAACATATTTTAATGACGTTTCTATATCAGAAAAACAATGAGTATATAAAATATTTAAACGATTCAGCATTGTAATAAATCATATAAATATGAATGATACCTGGCACGGAATCACAATGACTTTCGGGTACTGAATTAACTGTTGGTGGACTATAGACGGAATCCTGAAAATTTGACCTGCAAGACATGATACCGTCACGTAATAAATTTTGTAATACGTTATTAGGTATGGGCGCAGATGGATCTGTTTTCCTGACTTTAGTCGGTGGTTCTGCGGTTGGTGGTCTCGCCTCTGGTGGTCGACCCTTACTTGCTTTCATTGTTTTTGCGATTGGATATCCAAGTCGTTGCAGAACTTCTATTGATGAAGTCAGGTATGTATACAAAGTCAAAGAATGTTCACGTTGAGGCCGCTGATGAATATACTGAATCAAGTTTGATGCAATATCTGTATAATCTGTGTTTGTACGAGAAATATAAAGGGTATATGTATTCTCATTCTCTGAAATACTAGAGCTGACTTCTTCTTTATTGATCATATTGTTAGTTGTAAGCTCATAAGTGACATATACTCTGTCAACTTCCATAACCTTTAATTTTTCTATCCATTTCACTTCACACTTAATATTGTCATTAGGTATACTTGAATAATACCAAGGGACTCGTTCCAATAGTCTTTCTAAAACTTCATCAGAAATTTGTGAAGATGTTGGCGTGCCTTCAGTTTCATGTGTTATCTTGACTTTTGAACTAAGTGGTTGACATCCCAAGCACTTGATAAAATAAAGGCAATTAATGTTATATCATATATTTATAAATAACAACACAATACACTACATATTAACTGAAACGTACTTTATAAAATTCTTCCATTTTTTGATCCATAAATTGACATGTTAATGCGTTAAACATGTCCCGATAACGATCATTATCGTTTATAAAGATTTCATTTGCGCATGCTAATTCATAACGTTCAGAATCACCATACTTTTTTCTACCCAACAAGATTGGTGATTGCATCATTTCTCTAAGCAAGGCAGGTTTCTCTTTAAAAATTGAAAGATAATTAAATGCAATCGTTCCGAGGATGGAAATATAAGAATCCTCATCCATACGATTCCAGAAATCTCGGGAAGATCTAACAATGTATTCAGCTAAATCCAAAGAGGATGGCTCTCGTTTAACTCCACAATTTTCCAAAAATATGTTTGCAGTTTCACCAAAATCAACACTCGGAAGTATATTAGCATAGCTGGATCGAAAAAAAAATCAAAAATAGTGAATAATTAGAATAATTATCAAAATGAATGTATATAGAAATACTACGTACCTTTCATTTAAACAGTTTAAAAAGCAATCCCTTGGAGAGTAATGAGTGATTTTTCCAGGCGTGGATTTGTCTTCGATGGGAATAAATTTGAGACTTCTAAGCACTTTCCAATCTTCATGATCAAAATCACCTCTGCGCGATGACAAATAGTTGAAAAACATTTTTGCATCATCTATACTATTTGGAAGATTATTCGATAATCCATTCAATAGTTGCTTGCCATTAGGATGTTGTCTAATGCCCAACTCTTCGGCTCTAATACGCAAATCTTTACGTAAAGCGTTAAATCCCATTATCATACAATCGGGATTTGAAAAGCAATCTGATGGTTTTGAATAAGCTCCAAAGTTGTCACATGGTAGAAATTTATCTTGTACCAGAATTGCCTTATATTCTCTATATTTGTCCCTAAGATTATCTATGAAATAATTTAGCGCTTTCTCTCGAATGTCAAGAGCTGTAGGTGGAGATGCAAGTCGGAGAATAACTTGAAGGGATGGATATTCTTGAAGTCCAAGATTCATCATGAAATTGACTAAAAAAGTGACATTCATTATAATAATCAGTATGAACCATTAATTACTGTTATATCTTCTGTTAAATGAATTTTTTAGTTCACATACCTTCATCTGAATTCCCAATCCAATTACCTTTCCAATAGATTACTGGCAATCTAAGACATCTGTTAATAGGAAATGGAGCATATAGTTCTTTTGCCAAATATCTTCGAACATTGGCTTTTGTCTTATTTAAATCAACATTCTCTTCTATCCAAATTGCAGTCGTTCTTAATTTTTCAATGTCATTACTATTAAGGCTTTTTGATATCGAAGCGAAATAATTTATAAGATTCATATGATCTAAATTGTCATTATTAACCATGCGACTGAAAACCAGTTGTAGTTCTACGTGCTATAAAGCAAGAATTAATAATTATAAAGTTACTATTGTTTTAACGAAAGCATTTAAATTGCAACTCCATTTTTTTACCTTGTGCACACCCATTTGCACGAAAAAATCTTCAGAAACATCCTTCATAGTAAATATTGGCAAATCATCAAACAGAGTTACTTCCGGAAAATATGTGTCAACTGGCCTTTTCAGGCCAAATTGAGTTGGAATACATGATTTTTGAGAAAGTAATTTGGATATACTAATCCGAGATTCACTGTCCATTGATTTATAACCTTGAGAAAGAATTCCTATAAAATTTTCCGCAAAGGCTGTATCATTTCCTAATTTATATTTTCTAAGGATATGTTTCGCCCAAATTCCCAAGGGAAGCTCTGTCCAGTTTCTATATGGAATGAAATAAAATGAAATTGAAGCGACAATAAAAGAACACAACGAATTATTTAATTGAGTGTTGTGTAATACCCAAAATATTTCTGCAATTCTTTAAGTTTAAATGCCTTGCTGACAGAATATGGTAAAACATCAAATGGAACATCTGATTCTGGAGGTATTGTTTTTATATTAAGGTAATAATGAACGTTTTTCAGTGGTAAAACATTCGTTTCAACACGTAAAACAGCAAACTGTAAAAATTTTTCTTGTCCTAATTTGGAATTATTCTGTTTTGAGGAATACGATATCCACCATTTCATAGCAGCCACCATTTCATCCTGATCCAAGTTTCGACTTTTCAATTCTTCAAATACATCATTTATTGACGCTTTTTCGATAAGCTTTAATACATATTCCGCCCTATCAAAGAACAAGTTGCATTGCTTAAACACGAGTTCCGGCACAACTGAAACGGTTTTTATAAATGCAGCCATCTCTGGGTCAGGTATCCGTATCATGTTTATGGCCTTGACTCCATTAGTGGATAATAAAGATAATTTTGAAGAACAGCAATCGAAAAATTGATGTTCAATTATCTCTGCCACTTTAGAATTTGGGGTACTACTTCCGAAAGTAAAATGTGCGAGTACATGCGCTGCACGTTTCTCGCAATCAGATGTTAACTTTTGCGCAATTTGGTACATCTCATTTTCGTATAACAAGCGAGATAATATTCCAGCAGAACATAACATCTCTGAATTGTATACGGAAAGAGTTGGTTCAACCAAGTCAATTGATTCACGTTCAACCTGTAGACAATTACAAAGTTATAACGACTTTTATATTAAGGTTTAACGAAACTTATGTGCATAAATACCGTTGGGATGACACGAGCAGCCACATTTATGGAACAACCGGTGGTTTGATGTGTTTGGAAACCTATAAATATTCTTCCTTGCTTAGGGAATGGTAATAAATCCTTGAAAATATTAGAAGATTCATCCATTGTGGAATCATTGTATTTGGGAAGAAGAATATGTATTTTTGTTTGATTTGGAGGTTTTTTCTTTGTTAGCCTTTCCATTTCTTCACAAAAGTCATCTTGGACTCGCACCTCCAAATTTCCGCTAGCAATTTGGAGGCATACAGATGCCACTTCTGTTGGACAGTTACCAGATGGTAGCGCTCCAGGAGGGATGCAGACTTTATGTGCGTCGATTTGAACATTGCATAAATCCGCCGATAATAACTTAAATATACCTTTTGGAGATTTATTATTAATATCAGATCTGATTACAATTGATTGTGGCTGACCGATCTCCTTCTTGATATGAATCACGCGATCTTTATTAAAGTACACGGAAACTTCACAAAGATTGCCAGTGAATCCCTAAAAATAATATAGTGTTGCATAATTTGCACGTATGATCGTCGAATAATTATCATCATGCCGTTTATTATGAAACTCTTACCAATGAAGTTGCCAGGAAACGACTGAGGTTGTCCACATTTGGAAACTAAATAAAAAAAAAATTAATACAGAATTCAATTTAATTATTTTTAAAGTCAAAAATTATGCGTTTCCTTACTTCTCCGGGTGTTCTCAATTTCATTTCGAAAGTGGTCCATTTCAGATTTTTGGAACCATCAGGACCGTGTCTCGCGTATAATTGGTCACCTCTCCAGAAAAATTCCATCATCAATCCTCCAGATGATACTCTTTAAGTAATAAAAAAAATGAATAATTTCATTAACATTGTGGACGAACTTTGAAAAAAATTCGATCACCTACTTTGGATTTTCGCAGACAGAAAATAACGAGTAGAATCCAACTCCGAAAGCACCGATCTTATACAGTTAAAATATTAGCGGTTAATTTATAATGAACTTGATATAGCAGACTTTCGTTAGATTATATACCTTTTGTTCATCAGGGTTTCCTTCAGCGATTTTTTTTAGTCGGTTCCAATCTTGCTCTCGAAAATGAAAGCCATTATTCTTAAAAATCGTTTTTGTAAGAGTACCATCAGTGGTACCTTCAAATATTATTTCAACTGCAGTGGTTTTTGCATCATCTTTGAACAAGATTATTATAAGATTATCATTTTAGAAACACAAAAACAAAAAAAGAAGGTCAAATCATCATATCACATCTTAAAAGTTTCTAACCCGCATTCTGCAACAATTCTCGGAAAACCACAAATTCGGCCGCATATCTAAAAAAGAGAAACCACACAAGTTAGGAATAAGAAAATATAAATGTCATTATAGGATTTTAAAACTTACCGAGCCAGCATTTTATCGATTAAATGCCTTTGATTGACTTCGACTCGAATTTCGGTAACCGAATTTGACATCATATGATTCGTATGACTAGTCATCTTGATATTTCGATCTATGAAGATTAAACTTTTTTTTTCGTAAAGATCTAGTCCACATAAGCTTTTATATTTGAGTCTCCGGAATTTCGGACCTTAACTCCATTATATTGATTTCGTGTGACTAAGTAAAAATCTAGTAGAAAAGATCGACGTTACGGATATCCCATAATCCTTTGTTATGGAAAAATTAAAATAAGAGTTTTATATTGTATTTGTATAAATTGTTTTGGAATCACAAATTACAAATATATACAATTTTTTTATGCTGAACATCCGCTTAAACTTTATTTTAAAATCCTATAGTTAGGTATAAATTATTTAATAAATATATAGATTGCAATATAAATGCTTATATTATAAGACTTTATCAAGAAAAATGACTGCAAAGTTATCTAATAGTTTATTGCATATGCGCGTATAATACTTTTGTTAAAAAAGCTAAACGTATAAAGATTTAGATTTTGCTATTGGAAATATGTGATCTTTATATAATCTGAAAATGTGTTGTTCTTATAACGGTGCTAGCTATGAATTGATTCATTTCTTGAAAATAGTCTGTTTTTTGAATGCTCCAAATATTGCTGGTCTTGGGCAATATGTATTTCATGAGGGCTTAAATACTTAACCCGCGCAACACTTGAAAGAAGCTTATTTCTATATTTGGCAAGGGTCTGTTCCGAATTTTCCGGCACATTTTCATTTTTATCTATCTCTTTGTTTCTATTCCTTTCTTGGTCTGTGTCATTGATTAAATTAGAAGGTCATTGTTGTGATTTACACGGAAGTTTATCACAGAAATGTTAATTATTGTGATACCCCCCCGTCCTACTCAAAAAGGTGCGTACGTACGTACGTACACGGGTCCGTATTATTTCACCGACAATCACTTCACCGACAGCTAGGGATGTTAAACAGCTCGGTTTAATCGGTTTTCGAATCAGTTAGAGTCAAATTGCTTAAAGTCGACTCCACTAATATCACATGAAATTTAGATAATTATAGCAAGAATGATTTCCAATTTATACTAAAACATACATTGCATTGCGTTAAACCAATAACGATAATACCTTGATTTTTGTACAACCTCACATGATTAAAATTCAAGTCTGAGTCTGATAATTTGCTCGACTTCTGGAGTCGGATAAGTTCGGACAGAGCATTTAACATCCCTACCGACAGCTCATTTAGCCGACATCACTCCAGTGAAATTAAGCAAAAATATATACATGTAACCTATCAAATGCTAAATCCTAACCCTATGTGATGTCGGCTAAATGATAAATCGATCGGAACCCCGTACATACATACGTACGTACGTAAATCGACTTTTTTATTTAAAATGACAAATACAGTCAAACCTCTCTATAGTCACACCTTTGGGATACAAAAAACCGTGATTATAAAGAGGTGGGACTAATATAGAGGTATTTTCTATATAATTATAAATAGTTGGTAAAAATAAATTTGTAATTATACTAATTTTGTGACTATAGAGGAGGTGACTATAGAGGGGGTTGACTGTAATCTAAAATAGACCGACAGTTCATCAGATATTAACCAATTATTTAAAAGATAATAATACATTGAATATTTTTAGTGAAATTTTTAAAGAAATATATAATTTAGATAATGAAGAAAGATTGAAGGGCAAAAGTTAGAACAAAGATTTAAAATATTGGAACAATTTTTAGTAAAAAAGAACCAAAATCCAGATAATGTGATTAAATGGTGCTTAGAAAATCAAATCAATCCTATGGTCCAAATAATTCTTGGACATTTTTATCAGCATAGTAAAATGGATTGAAAAGGATGAACGTCAGGCATTCATTTATTATCAAAAATCTGCTGAGATGGGAAATGCTGGCGGAACGTATAATGTTGGAGATTGTTATCGAAAAGGTATTGGAGTTGAAAAGGATGAACGTAAGGCATTCATTTATTATCAAAAATCTGCAGAGATGGATCACGCACCTGGAATGTCAATGGTTGCGGAGTGTTATTGAAATGGAATTGGAACAACAAGAGATTTAGATAAGGCCAAATACTGGTATCAAAGGTAAATATTAAGTTTAATTTATTCAGGGATGTTGTGACGCATCATAATCATAATCAAATCATAAGGTCAGTTGCAATTGAATTGGTCAATGTAAGAATTATAATAAAGTTAGAGCAGAGTTATAGCTTCAAACTGACGCATGGGCAATTTTAATATTTTATCGGTAGATTACACTAAATTAATATTATCTATCGTACGGCCACGTTGTTACTACTGTAATCGAAGCTTTCATATTTGTATAGCTTTTTTTCTAAAATCAATGTCGCGGCTGAAGCTTGTAATTTTAATTATTTTAATATGAAATTTTTAGAAATTTTTGGGGTGCATTTTTTTAACCTTTTTTTAATAGCTAGATTAGGTTTTAGGGTTAGTTTTGATAATAAAAGAGTATAAGTGGATTTTGGTAGAGATTATATTTTTAAATCAAGGTCCCTAATTTCAAGCATCAGCCGTTTCAAGCTTCAGCCGCGACAATCAATAATACCATAAACAACTAATGACAATAAACTAAAAAATTTTACATGTAAAAAACTGCTTAAAGATGACAAAACGTTGGTTTGGAGCGCGTTATTTATTTAATATGGTCAAATGTATATGATAGTAACAACTGCTAAACGTTATCGTATGAGGAAAAAATCGACACAATAGTACGGATATGTTTGTTTTTATCCACAATATGGTACTTAGGCAGTTCAAAGTTGATTAGTTGTTTAACGTCAAAATTTTGGGCTCGGGCAAGGGGGGGGAGGGAAAATTTAAACAAACATATAATCTAAACAAATTTATATGTCAGATTATTATTTGATTAGATAGCTGCATTATCTGTAGAATTTCATATGTTATGATGTTTTTGCCTGCTTCACAGATTGGGGTATGCGATGTCCTATTATTATCAAACATATTGAAGATCATATACAAAAATCAGTATCAACATTTTTTTACATACCCTACAACTTTTCCGAAATTTATATAGTAAAAAAAAATCGCTACTCTTCCTTCATTTTCAACGATAGAGATTTAAATTTTGCTTGAACCCAATAAAAATGTATTATATTTTAATAATATAGAAAGTTTTTTAATTAATAAAAAGGTTAATTGCGCAAAAAATCTTTTCTAAAACTATAAAAAAATAATAAATTCTGCGTAGATATTAAAAATTTTAAAATTTATATTAAATAAAAATATTCTCTCTATATTAGCTTTCTATATATAATTCTTAACAAGAATAAATAAATTTTTCTACAAACAATGAAGTTTTTGTGAAACCTTAGTGATTGAAAGTTTAATATATATAAGCGATTATTTATTAAATAGTTCTTGTTAGATGAAACATAGCAAATTGAAAATGCAGGGCATATATAATTAATCCTTGTTTTTAATTGTATCAAAACGATCAAAGCGATATATTAAAATAATATCAAAGTAATATATTAAAGCGATGTATTAGTACTTTAAATTAATTCTGCAATTGTATGCAAAATAAATTATAATCATAAAACCTTATTGTTTTTAATTGTTTATTAATCGATATTTAATTCAATTTTTGTTTTTAATTGTATAATATAGATCAAAGCGACATGTTAAAATGATCGAAGCGATATATTAAAGTGATATCAAAGTAATACATTAAACGATGTATATTAATTCTGTAATTGTATGCAAAATAAATCAATTATAATTATAATAAAACCTTATTGAATTAATTTTGAATGGCGATATTGTTTATTAATCTTTTAAATATAGCGATAAATTAATAATTTTTTTAAAAAAAAAAATTAAAATGCCCCGCCTGTCTAAAACTCAAAAAAATTGTAAAAATGCACGGTATACAAAAAAATCAAAATCCTATGAAAATAATTTTAGTATACCAGAAATTAAAAATCCAATATGCGATTTTTATATTCGTCAGCATAGAAATTTTCAATAAATTACACCTGAAAATAATTCAATCGGTCTATTAGAAATTGAAAACTTAATTGAAAATTTAGCTAATCAAATATCAACTTCGCAACCGGCCATCTCGAAAATAGAAAAAATAAAAAAAGACCTAGTAACAAAACTTGATTATTTATCAGAAAAAGAATTAATAACTTGCTCTCAGTTATTTAATAATATGAAATATAAAGACGGACCAAATAAAGAAAAAAATCTATCTCCATATTTACAAGAAAAAGCCACAGAGTTATTATTTGCGAATCGTGGAAAATCTAGCTCCAATTTTTAAGAAAAACTTAAGCTATTAAGAGCTGAAAACTCAAAA